CATTAAGAAATCGACCCACATTTCCTTCTTTTGTCGCATCCAACAAATAAATGTTTTCTTGATCAGAATTCTTCCTAAGCATCTCATGACAAAAAGGATCTTGTTTGGAGCTCTTAAAGTTTTCTTCTTTGAAATCACTCTTATGGAGTAGGGCCTTGTCCTTTTTCACAGCATAAGCATCACCTTGCGTGACCAATTTACCATGTGCAAGATCCTGTGGAGATGTCCCCTCTTTACACTTTGCACCAAGGCTGACAGTGGATTCAACCTGCATGGTTTCCTCCAGATCCTCTAGCTCCTGTTGCAGGTTTAGTTCTGTCAACAGACATTTGAAAGCACGAGTTATTTGTCTGCACCTATTGAAAGCTACTCAGCACTTGACAGAGTAACACTGCAAACTTGAAATGTGCCGTGCTTGCTTCCTGCCAAATACTCATTTGCTCCTCAGCTGGCCTCCAATATGCAAGTAGATCAAACACTGTCATTTTCAGAAGCAGGAAGTACAGCTCTGCCTATATCCCCCCCACTGTAGTTTCTCTCTAACTCTCCCTTCCTACCATCCCATGTCTTGCACTGAAAATACAACTCACTTTCTTGCTCTCCAAACCTTCTCCCATAAGCAGTTGTGCTTCCCACCTCAATACTTAGAACATCCTTCCACAGCTGGTATAAGAGCCAGTCTTCCCCCTCAACTTTCAAATTCATCCTTAGAACTTACTTCTACCAGGCAGCATTATATTGCTGACCTCTGCTTCTGGCTTCATTCTTGACAAACAGAAGAGCTAATGGGGCATACACAAATAGCAAATGTTTCCCCATGATTTTTTTGCAGCTACACATGTCCCCCACTTTTATACCACTTCCTTGTTTATGTCAACCACTGTTTTACCGTACCAAAATAGGACCTGATTTTGCATGATTGTGGGCTTCTCAATATTATACTATAGTTGAAAGCAAGAGAAGCTTATCACTTTTCCAGGAGTGCTCAGCCTCTTACAGGGTCAGGCTTTAAATTACTCCAGACAGGAAACTTTTATCTATTTTAATAGTTGTTTACAGCATCATTTTTGCAGTATATTGTTATTACATGGTCTACATCTTCAGTGTGATAAGTAATAAATTTCAGTGCTGCTTAATCCTGGTAGAACAGCCTAGGTGCTGTGTCAGTCTACTCAGAGATACAGAATTTGAACAGGTTTGCACAAATTCAAAGACCAGTTTTTAAACTGCAACTTTATCACTGGACAGGGCAGAAATACACTAACAATGCAATATTATTAGCTCTGCAAACCTACTTCCTTTTCTTCTCTTGGTTCCGGTGGTTGGTTTCAATTTGGTTGACTGCTGGGATAAAGAGCTATCTTCATCTGAGGTGGCATCGTGCACCAGTGTATCAACTCCCTTAAAAGAAAAAAAAGAAAGTGAAGATAGTGCTCTTCTCTATGCATCTTTGTTAACAGAGAAAGGCAAATGGGCTTTAGGGCTTCGGAGTTTCAAACCTATCTTAATCTAGTATTTTGACTGAGTGAATTTCAATAGCCTAGATTTCAGGCTTAATGTAACATACACTGTATTCTAGAATCATTTTTATGAGAATTCCAGAATTAAGGCTCAGATGCAGCAAGACATTTAGGATGCCTGTACATGAGCTGGGAGGCTGCTCCAAGCAGACTCAATTCATCAAGTCTGCTGGAGCATGTTAGTTAGCATGCTTCAGCCAGCCTCTGCGTCTTGTGTATCAGCCTCCTCACACTCCAAAATTTGGGGCGTGGGGTGTGCGTGCTTTAACTAAAGTTTGTTCTACAAGCTTTAGATAAAGCACTCCTACCCATTTTGAAGCGTGGGGATGCTGATACAGTAGATGCTCTGGGCTCTTACATTAGAGCAGCTCCCCCCTCCACTGGCCTTTGCTCCCTGCCACTGGGGCTGGAGCTGCCACCGTCACAATAGCTGCTACATAGCCAGACTGTGACTGGAAACAGCACATGTTATGCTCTGTGCTCTCTGCCCCAGCCAGAGCTGGAGCTGCAACTGGGGGAGTGGAGCAGCACTGGGAGTGGGCAGCAGCAGGGCGAAGCAGCCCAGAGGACAACCAGCACAGGGGGTGCAGGCACAGAGGATGCAGGTTGGGGGGGGGAAGGCCAGCACCAGGGTGCAAACTGCAAGGGAGGGAGCACAGGAGCACGAGTGGGGTGCCCTGCCCTAGGGGGAGGAACAGGCAGCAAGGGGTAGAGGTTAAGCACCTTTACTTCTCTGCTGTTTGTACCCTCACTGCAGCAATGGGTGGGGTGGGGATTTAAAAGACAACCCTCCAAAATTAGGTCCTTTACATGGAAAATTATAATGAACTTACACATTTTCCATGTCCAGAATCTAGTTATGGGTGCTTGTCTGAAATTTCAAGTCATCTTGGATTCGGATAAATACGGTAGAGATCATGAGAGCATCCAGGAATGATGCTCAGATTTGAATCCATTTAACAATTTAAGGAAGGATACAAATGAATCTTATCACTCGCTCCCAAATTCAGTTCCAGGAAAAACTGTTTAAAATATGAAAAAGGGCTCTAATCTGGAAAGAAAGTCTTGAATGTACAGGAAAAAGAAATGAGGAAGCTATAGCAGCAATTCATGCAACTCATAGACAGCTCAAGGAATGCATAGTATGTGCATGCTGGTACAGTGATAAAGGAGAAAGAGTGGGTACCTCTGAGCTACAAGCAGACAGGGCTATATCACAGAACTCCTGCAATAACATGTGTTTTTTCTTTTTTAAATAATTGTCTGTACTGG